AGAGTGGTTTTCAGTTAAAGCCTGCAGCTTTGGTTCAGACCTGGGTCTATATTGCAGCAGGCTAACGTGTCTGGCTCAACAAGGCAGGGTCCTGGAGTCCCAAGCCATCAGGGGAAAACGGGCTCAGAGGTAATTTCAGCACGTCAGGTGCCAATTCCAAGGGGGTCTCTGTGACCGAACCCGTCACAACATGTACCAGTCAATATGGGGATAGTTGAAATCCCCCATTTTTATTGAGTTTTCTATGTTTGTAGCCTCTCTAATCCCCCTGAGCATTTCACAGTCACCATCACCATCCTGGTCAGGTGGTCGATAGGATATTCCTATTGCTATACTTTTATTCAAACATGGATTTTCTATCCATAGAGATGCTGTGGTACTGTCTGATTCATTTAAATTTTTTATATATTTGCCTCTGCCTTCTTTCACATAGTGCCACTCACCCACCAGCATGACCTACTGTCATCTGGACCCAACACCAAAATAAAAATAAGTAGAATGTAATTTTAAATTGCTCAGACTTTCACATATGAAAGTCATACACTTTTGCAAATCATTGTCCTGCATTTTTTTTAATGGGTAAGTAAAATAGATCCTGAGCTTTAATGTAACCCCATTGTGCCACACTGGCACAGGAAAAAAGTGAAAAAGCTCATAGATCTTCTTAGCTTGAGGATTCCCTTACTGTCATGTACTCTAAGGCTCCTTTACTCCAGGGGCTCTCAATCTTTTTCTTTCTGAGTCCCCTCCCCCCCTGTCTCCCCACCCCTGCTGTGAAAACTCCAGGGCCCAGCGAACTGCTTCCCACCTCCGACCTGGCCAGGGGGTGGGGAGAGAAGGAGGTGGGTGTGGCATGGTTAAGCTTCCGCCCTGTGGGGAGCACCAGGGCTCGGGATTCAGCCCCATGGCTCCTGGCTTCAGCCCTGTGGAGTGTGTTGGGGATCAGGGCTTCAGCCCTGTGGGGGGTGCTGGGGCTCAGGCTCTGGGTTTTAGCTGCAGGGCCCTGTGGACCTCCAGGGAGCCGCAGACCCCCGGTTGAGAACTGCTGCTTTACACCACTCTGGCGATGTAAAGGAGCCTTAAAACTTACATGTTTTTAGGCTCCTGGGGGAGCTGACTAAGAATGGGAACAATTAACTGACAATGGGAACATTAGCAGCCTGCCTACTTAGTTTTTACATTTCTGCCTCACAAAGTCCTACTCCTCCAAGCCAGGGGCACCACAATAGCAAGTGAGAGGGACAGAGTGTTGCTTGCTCATTGGCACGCAGGCATGTGCCCAGCCCTGCCCCCTTAACATCTCTCCACTCACACCCAGTCTCCCCACCCCTCTGCGCAGTGATCTACATCTCTGCCAGCTGCTCCGGGCAGACGCGCCTGGGTTGCCAGGGATGGGGCACATGTTCCCCACAGATTTATTTGCTCCCCCATTTTTCTGCGGGGAGCAAAGAAATCTGCGGACGGTATGAATTCTGTGCCTCTGGAGTAACTCAATAAAGAAATTAAAGGAGGGTAATGTAATTAATGCCAGTCAATATGGGTTTATGAAAAATAGATCCTGTTTTACTTGTAAGCTTTATTAAAAAAAGATATCAAGTTTGATCAATAAAGGAGATAGTGTTGATGGAATATACTTAGATTTCTACCGTGTTTCCCCGAAAATAAGACAGTGTCTTATATTAATTTTTGCTCCCAAAGATGCGCTAGGTCTTATTTTCAGGGGAGGTCTTATTTTTCCTGGAGCTTCGGGGCCTTATATTCCGGGGTGGCCTTATTATCGGGGAGGTCTTATTTTCGGAGGATGCCTTATATTACAGCGAGAGGCAAAACTGGAAGTAGGTCTTATTTTCGGGGGATGTCTTACTTTCGGGGAAACAGGGTATAAGGCATTTGACTTGGTACAGCGTGATATTTTGATTTAAAAAACCTAGAATGATGCATATGCTAAATAGATTAAAAACTGGCTAACTGTTAGGTCTCAAAATGTGATTGTAAATGGGGAATCATCATAGAGCTGGTGTGTTTCCAGTGAGGTCCTGCTGTGATCTATTCTTGACCCTATGCTATTTAACATTTTTATCAGTAGCCAGAAAGAAATCATAAAATCATCATTAGTAAAGTTTGCAGATGATACAAAAATTGGAGAAGTGGTAAATAATGAAGAGGACAAGACACTGATTCAGAGTGATCGGGAGCGCTTGGTGCCAGCAAACAATGTGTGTCTGAATATGGCTAAATGTAAATGTATACATCTAGGAACAAAGAATGTAGGCCATACTTCCACAATGGAGGACTCTCTCCTGGGAAGCAGTGACTTTTAAAAAGAATTGAGGATTATGGTGGATAATCAGCTGAACATGAGCTCCCAATATGATGCTATGGCCAAAAGGGCTAATGGGATCCTGGGATGCATAAACAGGGGAATCTCAAGTAGGAGTAGAGAGATTATTTTACCTCTGTCTGGCACTGGAGCAACCACTGCTGGAGTACTGTGGCTAGTTCTGGTGTCCACAATTCCAAAAGGATGTTGATAAATTGGAGAGGGTTCAGAGAAGAGCCATGAGAATGATTAAGGGATTAGAAACCATTTCTTATAGTGATTGATTCAAGGAACTCAATCTATTTATTTTAACAAAGAGAAGGTTAAGGGGTGAGTTGATTAGTCTATAAGTACCTACATGGGGAACAGATATGTGATAATGGGCTCTTCAAGCCAGAAGAGAAAGGTATAACATGATCCAGTGGCTGGAAGTTGAAGCAGGACAAATTCAGACTGGAAATAAGGCATACATTTTTAATAGGGTGATTAACCATCCATCACTGACCATTTTAAAATCAAGACTGGATGTTTTTCTAACAGATCTGCTCTAGGGATTATTTTGAGGGAAGTTCTATGGCCTGTTATAGATGAGATCAGACTGGATAATCACAATGGTCCCTTCCAGCCTTGGAATCTAGGAATCTTATTTCTGAGGGCTTGGTTCATGAAAGGAAGGTCTTAGCCAATATGTAACAATATGCTTCCAGCTACCTGGAACATAATCCCCTCTGGCCATACTATAAGCCATAGTGCATATTCTGCAAATGCTTCCTTAAAAGGTTGACGTTTGCAAGTGTCTAAAGCCTGGATTTTCTGCAGAAAGGTGTAGAGAATGGTCTAACATTGTGTACTCTAAGGACTGTCTTCACCCCTGGGACATGTCTGGTGGGGAGATTGACTCACAATCTGTTGTGTTGTGGTTACCAGCTAACAAAAAATGCAAATACTAGGGAATAAGTAGTGGGAGAATTGTTTTGGCCTGGAAGTCAAGGGCTTAGGCAATGTTACATAGGGGATCAGATTCCTCCTTAGTTCTTGGCATGCTAAAGGTGAGAACATTACTACAGAGACAGCATGTTCTAGCACTTAAGGGAGCAGCCTGCTGTCTGTTTCAGGAATAAGCCTAGTCTCTTGAGTGTGAGGTGCCAGCCATTGGTTAGAGATGTTTGATACTACCCAAGGGCTTTGAGTTAAAAGCGAAAATGAGGAGAGGGTCATTCTGAGAAAATATTACAGTACCTTTTAGGCCCCATGAGCCTTAGTGTCTCTTTAAATATTCTAGCTCTTTAGTGAAGAGCATCTATATATCTGTTTTTCCTCTGTCAGTACTCCTGAATCTTCTCACACATATGGGAAGCTGTTTAGTAAACCTTGCAAGAGAGAACTTCTGACACTGCTTCATACAATAAATAAATACCACACTGGAAATCGCCTTAGGTGATTAATCCTTGTGTAAATAGAAGGCTCGATGTGCATATGTGGGGCTCAGGAGAGAAATAAATTCTCTAGCAGAGCCCTGAGTGAATTGTGAAGCACTCTTTTCATGGGTAGGAGGCTCATTATCTTTCAAGTGTAACCCTATGAGGAAACAAAAATATAAGCCTTCATCTTGGTAGATGATACTAAAGTGGAAGGGCAGCTGTTTGCTGATTTCTCAGGAATGTGCATGTTAGCTGGAGAGCACTCAAATGAACATATTAAAGTTATCTGGTTACAAGATAGGAACAATGCTACCTGCTCAGCTAGGGCAATGCATTTTCCCCCATGTGAAGGTAATTTTCCTCTTATACATTGTAATGAAATCAAGAGTCTAGTGTTGATAGAGGCAGAACTGCAGACAGGTCAGCACTTGCTGTGGGAAGACTACTTGAAAACAATGTTGTTGCAGCCATGTTGGTCCCAGGATATTAGAGCAACAAGCGGAGGAGGTAATATATTTTATTGGACCAACTGCTGTTAGTGAGAGAGACAAACTTTCAAGCTACACAGAGCTTGTCTGTTTCACCAAAAGAAGTTGATCCACTAAAAAATATTACCTCACCCATCTTCTCTCTTCTTGAAAGCAGGCACTCTGAGGCTTACCTTTTTATTTGCATGGGATGTCTGAAAGGAAGTCTGAGAGCATACAAGATTTTCTGCTTCTTGTCAGAGTTTTGTGGTGCACTCTAGGATATATATGTAACAGGGAATCCTGGGAGTGCTGATGAATCTGGCTGAGCAGAGGTCACCATACTTATTGTCCTGTCATTCTTCCTTTCCCTTTCCTCCAGTCCTGTAATGCAGGGAGGTGGCACAGTAGTACACGAGGGATGAAGTGTTTGGGGATGTAACTCAAACCAAAGATTTGCTTAATTCCATAGAAGGGTGATGGCTGAAATCAATTACTCTTTTGCTGAATTTATTTTATTCATTTCTAGGTGATACTGCGCTAAAATTCTGCTCCCTAAACACATAGGAATGGAAGCAGCTCTGGGATTAGCAGCCATATAACAGGATTTTTGACCGAATTTATGTTTTACAGAAAAGCGAATCCCCCGAACTGCATCACTAACTTTCTTTTTTCCTTCTGCACAAAAGCTGCAGAACTTGGGTAGGAACAGAACGTGAAAGTAAATTAGAAGGTAAATGATTTCACACCTTCGTATTGTTAAAAATCTCAACTCTTCTTCTCCTCCTCTAGGTCTGGAGGGGCACACTAGCCCGCCTTCGGTATAAGAGGACAAGGGCTGCCCTCACAATAATTAAGTACTACCGCCGCTACAAGGTGAAGTCCTACATCCGTGAGGTCACCCGGCGCTTCCATAACGTGAGGTCCATGAGGGATTATGGCAAGCATGTGAAGTGGCCCAGCCCTCCAAAAGTGCTGCGCCGTTTCGAAGAAGCACTGCAGGCAATTTATCACAGGTGCAAGGAAAACCCTTTATTTCATTCTAAATGAGAGGCATCATTGGTCATAAACTAAAACATAAGAATTAACAATGGCCATTGATTCTTATGTGAATATATTTTTCATATAGTAGATGTACCTTTATTCTGTAGAAGACATATTGTGACAAAGTCAGACTGGATGGCTGTAAAAGGGTCCTCATATTGGGTTCTGGGAGGTGGGCAGGTACAAGCCTGCCCACGGCTAAAGGACCCTCCCCCTGCCTATGGGGAGGATCCACTGAGCCCGGGACTCAAATAATTAAGGGGGGGCAGCTGAAAAACTAACAAGGATGGGTGTGTGGGTCACAGGGTCAAAAATAGGGAGCTTGAAGGGGACAGCGAGCAGAGAACCCTGGACAGCACCCACTGCTCCTCGAAGGTGCCAAGGGAGCCAGTGGACACTGCCCAGAGGAACTCTGCCCGGATACGTGAGCGGAGAGAGGAACTTCCACCTCAGCAGGTGGCATTAGGTCCCGCCATTTAGTGTCAGTGCGGGACACGAGGGTGAGGAAATGGAGAGTATGGAGCACGAGCATGTACAGATATGCCTGTGGCACAGTTCGAAAGCAAACTGGCTGCAGGTCACACAAGGTATATATGGGTGGGGTAGCCGGGGAGGCTCACGGGACAGGGGCCTGATGAAAAGATCCGGAGGGTGTGGGGTGAGTGGGGAACATCGTTCTGCAGGACCTGTTCGAGATAAGCCTGAGAGGCGGGCGACAAAGTTGCCCTCATCTCCTAAAATACGCGCCGGGGAGTATGTATAAACTGAGACGGGGTTTCCTCAAGTCAATTAGGGATACCTACATGGGGAATTAGGGATACCTGGATTCAATTAAGGGCTGTCATTAAAGGGAAATGGGATAGCTGAGCCAAGAATTTGGCTTGCAGAACCTTTATTACTGGTGATATGCTAACAGCCCAGCATGATTCTTGGATGCCAGGGCATGTTTACAGGACTAGCAGATATGAAAACATTTTATTGTGGAATTGGAGACAATAAACATGGAGTTCCATGTTTATTGTCTCCAATATTGTGATGCCATCTCTTACAAAGTCACTTTAAGCGTGTTGCTTGAAAAATGACTTCAGTTGAATAATGGCAGCTAGAAAAGTCTGTTTACCCCTGACCCTCCCAATGTAAATCAGGTAAGGCTCCAGATTAGTCTGGTCTTGCTATGGGGCACAGATAAACTTTGGAGTTGATTTCTATTTTCTTTTTTTAGGTGGAGAGCAAATGTGCTCATCAAGAGCATCCCACCAGAAGATCTGCCTCAGCTCAGGGCTAAGGTTGCTGCCATGGAATTGTTGAAGGGTCACAGAGCAGATATTGGGCTACAAAGAGCCTGGGAGGGTAACTATATTGCATCGGTGAGTGCTGTGATAGAAATGTTCAGACTTTAGTCTATTCAGTGCAGCTGAATAGGGAAGCGTTTCCCTGGTGAGGCCTAAGGGAATCTGGAGAGGAGAGTCTGAAAACTGTGTGTGTTCTAAAAATTAAATGCATTCCAACTCCTCCATTAAGAAGTAATCTGTAAATCATTTCAAAATGGTTCCAACGTTTACTATGCTAAGAACTATAATTTTGTAAATACCAAACCTAATTCTCATTATTCTTGAGACCATTATTCTTGAGACCTGTTAATCAAGATACCAATTAATATCATCAGTTGACTCTTCCAGTGGCCAGAGATAGGATGGAAAATGCAACATGAGACTAAAATTGCAGTAGTTAGCTTAAATGGAAGGACTAGGCGGAAAAAAATGCTAAACTGTCTGCCTCTGAGAGCGTAGTGGAAATCTCCTTATGTGTCTTCCTCAAAGGTAGCTCCAGCTTATTAGAGCCTTCCTTTTCCCCTTAAGCCCTTTGTTTCTAAAAGGTCCTTTAGAAAAGCATGTAAAACTCAGGATGCTGTGTTTCTGTAGTGCAAGGAATAATATATGGAGATATACCTATTTTATAGAACTGGAAGGGACCCTGAGAGGTCATCGAGTCCAGCCCCCTGCCTTCACTAGCAGGACCAAGTACTGATTTTGCCCCAGATCCCTAAGTGTCCCCCTCAAGGATTGGAGGATTGCTAAACCCTGGGTTTAGCAGACCAATGCTCAAACCACTCAGCTATCCCTTCCCCTAAATGACTGATAAAGTCTCTTGATAAGGGAATGTATTACAGACTTCTTGGTGAGCTTGCCATTCCATCAGGCCTAGGTTGACAAAGCATGATTGCTCTATTTGGTAATTAAGAAAAATTATGTGTCTGTCTTTGTTTGCTCTTCCAGAAACCAGATAACCCTCAGACCACAGGCTCTTTCATCCTTATTGCCAATGAGTTGAAGAGGAAGGACAAGTACATGAATGTGCTCTTCTCATGTCACGTTCGCAAGGTAAACAGAATGAGTGGTTGATAGAGGAGGAGAGAAATCTACAGAAAGTCAAAAGCTAGGCTGGGAATAGAAATGCCACAAACTTATTTTCTTGTGGCTGAAGTGAAGTTTTCTGATGCTAAGGATGAGGAGAAAAGATTTGAATTCTGAGCAGCCTTATCTGATCGTTTGTTGCTTTAGGGAGATTGAGTTCGGAGTAGATATTTTATCTTCTGTAATATATCAGGTGGAGTTCAAAGCAGCAGCCCAAACAGAAGGCATGTCATTGAAGGTTGCTTTCCACTAAAGCTCACAGGCACTGGGTAACAAACTATTCTCTAAATTCCTTTGTGATGTATTGTGAAGTGGTATAGTAATTCTTTTGCTTAGTGTTGTAAGAGCCCTGATGGTAAACTGCAGTCTCCGTGTTCAATCCTTCCTTCTGGTGCAAAGGATTCATGTTTAAAACACTATTCAGCAACCACTGAAACCAGGGAGGCTAGATCATAGTGCCAGTATATAGGCTATTTTTAGCAAGGATTTTGACCAAGAAATGAAAACTTTAGGATTTAGTTTGTTTGAAGGAATGGTCACATCCTATCCTTGTTATGTTTCAAGTATCAACATTCGTGTTTTGGGCCACTGCTTTCTTAATACCCAAGCTAACAAGGAACCCTTCACTTTAGGGGACACCTCTGACCACCTGGGAGATGAAGCCAGGCTGGATTAAGTGTAGCTGATTTTGGTCTGATTGGAAGTCTCTTTCCAGGGTGGAGACACTTAAATCAAGGCAATTTCAAATTATTGATTTAAGTCAGGTTGAAGATTTGTAAAACTAACTTGAAAGTTTGTGCTATTGCAAATTGAGATTAACATTTGTAATGAAGTAAATTATGCTGTTTTTAAATGCTACATTTGATAGGGTATCTTATTTGAATGTTATGAAATGGCTGTAGACAAAAAACAGAATATTTAAAACTAGTATCTGAAAGCCTGTGCTGTTGCACAGGTGTAATTTGTAAAGTAATGTGTAAAAATTTAAAACAGCTGAAAATGACTGAGAACTTAAAAATTGGAGAGTAACAGACTGTGAATCCCAGTGATGATTGAACCTGGTGATATTCTAAACAAAGAGCTCTCAACCATGCTTGTAGCTGTTACAATTGCTTCACACTGACTCAACAGACATTTTAGGCTTCAGAATGATGTTTGGTGGTGTGTGTGCTGGTTATGTTGTTGGGTGGATCATAGAATCATAGGACTGGAAGGGACCTTGAGAGGTCATCTAGTCCAGTCCCCTGCACTCATGGTAGGACTATTATCTAGACCATCCCTGACAGGTGTTTGTCTAACCTGCTCTTAAAAATCTCCAATGATGGAGATTCCACAACCTCCCTAGGCAATTTATTCCAGTGCTTCCTACAGGAAGTTTTTCTCTAATGTCCAACCTAAATCTCCATCGCTGCAATTTAAGCCCATTACTTCTTGTCCTATCCTCAGAAGTTAAGGAGAACAATTTTTCACCCTCCTCCTTGTTACAACTTTTTAAGTACTTGAAAACTGTTATGTCCCTTCTCAGTCTTCTCTTCTCCAGACTAAACAAACCCATTTTTTTCAATCTTCCCTCGTAGGTCATGCTTTCTAGACCTTTAATCATTTTTCTTGCTCTTCTCTGGACTTTCTCCAATTTGTCCACATCTTTCTTGAAATGTGGTGCCCAGAACTGAACACAAGACTCCTGTTGAGGCCTAATCAGCACGGAGCAGAGTGGAAGAATTACTTCTCGTGTCTTGCTTACAACACTCCTGCTAATACATCCCAGAATGATGTTCGCTTTTTTTGCAATAGTGTTACACTGTTGACTCATATTTAGCTTGTGATCCACTATGACCCCCAGATCCCTTTCCTCAGTACTCCTTCCTAGGCAGTCATTTCCCATTTTGTATGTGTGCAACTGATTGTTCCTTCCTAAGTGGAGAACTTTGCATTTGTCCTTATTGAATTTCATCCTGTTTACTACAGACCATTTCTCCAGTTTGTCCAGATCATTTTGAATTTTAATCCTATCCTCCAAAGCGCTTGCAACCCCTCTCAGCTTGGTATCATCCGCATACTTTATAAGTGTGCTCTCTATGCCATTATCTAAATCATTGATGAAGATATTGAACAGAACTGGACCCAGAACTGATCCTTACAGGACCCCACTCGTTATGCCCTTCCAGCATGACTGTGAACCACTGATAACTGTTCTCTGGGAATGGTTTTCCAACCAGTTATGCACCCCCCTTATAGTGGCTCCATCTAGGTTGCATTTCCCTGGTTTGTTTATGAGAAGATCATGCGATACAGTATCTAAAGCTTTACTAAAGTCGAGATATACCACATCTACCGCTTCCCCCCATCCACAAGGGTTGTTAACCTGTCAAAGAAACCTATCAGGTTGGTTTGACACGATTTGTTCTTGACAGATCCATGCCGACTGTTACTTATCACCTTTTTATCTTCTAGATGTTTGCAAATTGATTGCTTGATTATTTGCTCCATTATCTTTCTGGGTACTAAAGTTAAGCTGACTGGTCGGTAATTGCCTGGGTTGTCCTTATTTCCCTTTTTATAGATTGTCACTTTATTTGCCCTTTTCTAGTCTTCTTTCCCATCCTCCATTATTTTTCAAAGATAATCGCTAATGGCTCAGATATCTCCTCAGGCAGCTCCTTGAGTATTCTAGGATGCATTTCACAGGCTCTGGTGACATGAAGACATCTAACTTGTCTAAGTAATTTTTAACTTGTTCTTTTCCTATTTTAGTCTCTGATCCTACCTCCTTTTCACTGGCATTCACTATGTTAGACGTCCAATCACCACCAACCTTCTTGGTGAAAACCAAAACAAAGAAATCATTAATCACCTCTACCATTTCCACACTTTCTGTTACTGTTTTTCCGCACTCATTGAGTAACTGGCCTACACTGTCCTTGGTCTTCCTCTTGCTTCTATTGTATTTGTAGAATGTTTTCTTGTTACCCTTTATGTCTCTAGCTAGTTTGATCTTGTTTTGTGCCTTGGCCTTTCTAATTTTGTCCCTTCATACTTGTGTTATATGTTTATATTAGGGCTGTCAAGGCAATAAAAAAAAAATTCTCATGATTAATCATGCTGTTAAACAATAATAGAATACCATTTATTTAAATATTTTGGATGTTTTCTACATTTTCAAATATATTGATTTCAGTTACAACATAGAATACAAAATGTACAGTGCTCACTTTATTTTTTTTATCACATATTTTCACTGTAAAAAACAAAAGAAATAATATTTTTCAATTCACCTAATACAAATACTGTAGTGCAATCTCTTTATCATGGAAGTTGAACTTACAAATGTAGAATTTTGTCCAAAAAATAACTGCATTCAAAAATAAAACAATGTACAACTTTAGAGCCTACATGTCCACTCAGTCCTACTGCAGCCCATCACTCACACAAACAAGTTTGGTTACTATTTGCAGGAGATAATGCTGCCTGCTTCTTGTTTACAGTGTAACCTGAAAGTGAGAACAGGCATTCGCATGGCATTGTTGTAGCCGGCATTGCAAGATATTTACGTGCCAGATGCGTTAAAGACTCATATGTCCCTTCATGCTTCAACCACCATTCCAGATGACGTGCGTCCATGCTGATGACCGGTTCTGCTCGATAACAATCCAAAGCAGAGCGGACCGACGCATGTTCATTTTCATCGTCTGAGTCAGATGCCACCAGCAGAAAGTTGATTTTATTTTGTGGTGGTTCAGGTTCTGTAGTTTCTGCATCTGAGTGTTGCTCTTTTAAAACTTCTGAAAGCATTCTCCAAACCTCTCAGATTTTGGACAGCACTTCAGATTCTTAAACCTTGAGTCTAGTGCTGTAGCTATTTTTAGAAATCTCTCATTGGTACCGTCTTTGCGTTATGTCAAATCTGCAGTGAGAGTGTTCTTAAAATGAACATGTGCTGGGTCATCTTCCGAGACTGCTACAACTTGAAATATATGGCAGAATGAGGGTAAAACAGAGACATACAACTCTCTTCCAAGGAGTTCAGTCACAAATTTAATTAGCACATTTTTTTTAACGAGCGTCATCAACATGGAAGCATGGTGGCCGAAGCATGAAGGGGCATACGAATGTTTAGCATATCTGGCATGTAAATACCTTGCAACGCCGGCTACAAAAGTGCCATGCGAACGCCTGTTCTCACTTTCAGGTGACATTGTAAATAAGAAGGACGCAGCAGTGTAATGAAAACAAACTTGTTTGTCTTAGTGATTGGCTGAACAAGTAATAGGACTGAGTGGACTTTAGAGCCTACAAGTTTTACATTGTTTTGTTTTTGAGTGCAGTTATGTATCTTTGTACATAATTCTACATTTGTAAATTACACTTTCACGATAAAGAGATTGCACTACAGTACTTGTATGAGGTGAACTGAAAAATACTATTGCTTTGTTTATAATTTTTACAGTGCAAATATATATAATAAAAAATAATATAAAGTGAGCACTGTACACTTTGTATTCTGTCTTGTAATAGAAATCAATATATTTAAAAATGTATTAAATATTTTTGGACGTTTTTCTACATTTCAATTGGTATTCTATTGTTTAACAGTGTGATTAATCACGATTAATTTTTTTTAGTTAATCGCTTGAGTTAACTCCGATTAATTCACAGCCCTAGTTTATATGCATCCTTTGTAATTTGACCTAGTTTCTACTTTTTGTAGTACTCTTTTTTTGAGTTTCAGATTGTTGAAGATCATCTGGTTAAGCCAGGGTGGTCTCTTACCATACTTCCTTTGTTCTTGCGCCCTTAATAATGTCTCTTTGAAAAACTGCCAACTGTCTTCAATTGTTTTTCCCCTTAGACTTGCTTCCCATGAGATCTTACCTACCAGCTCCGAGTTTGCTAAAGTCTGCCTTCTTTAAATCTATTGTCCTTATTTTGCTGTTCTCCCGCCTACCATTCCTTAAAATCATGAATTC